TTATTCATGTAACCAAACACCACCTGTTAGCCAAAAACCTACTGAAATAAAAAAATAAAAAAATCAACAAATAAAGTGTGTGTCAAAAGCATACTTGGGTTTTGCCTTTATATTTACTCTGACAACTTCTATCTTTAATTAGAGTGTTTATTAGACCACTTACATTTAATGTAACTATTAATATGCTTTATTTACATCTAGGTATTTGCCATCTATTTGTCTCATATTTTAAAAATATTTTTACATTCTTCCTTTCTGGCCTTCTTTGGGGTTAGCTGCATATTTATTTAGTATTCCATTGTATGTTCTCTATTGATTGTTTTTAGCTCTGTTTCTTTTTGTTAGTTTTAGTGATTACCCTAAAATTATGATATGCACAACCTATATCCAAATACTATATTACTTCACAAACAATGTAAGATCCTTCCAGCAATATATTCCGTTTATCCCTTGCTATGTTTCGAATGTGTCCCCTCCAAAATGTAGGTGTTGCAACGTAATGACTAATTGTGACAGTATCAAGAGGTGGGACCTGTAAGAGATGATTTAGGCCATAAGGGTTCCACCCTCATCAGTGAGATTAAAGCCTTTATGAAAGGGGCTTCCTGTAACATTTGTGTCTCACTTCCCCTTGTGCCTTCCACCATGTGAAGATGCAGCACTCTTCTCATCCGGAAAATGCAGAATCAAGGCACAGCCTGGAAGCAAGAGTAGTCCTTGATAGACAATTGAACCTGCTAGCACCTTGATTTTGGACTTCCCAGTCGCTAGAACTGTGAGAAGATAAATTAATACATTTTTGCTCGTTATAAATTACCCAGTCTCAGGTATTTTGTTATAGCAGCACCAATTTACTAAGACATCTCTTCTATCCTTTTCACTCTTGTTGTTCTGTTTTATTTCTGTATATGTTGTTATAAACCTTATACTACTTTACTAATATTTTTTATTTTTAAATGATTATTTTTAACCATTCACACACACACACACTCATCTTTTCACAAACATTTCAGTTATTTGGTAACATTCTTTACCTTCTTGAGTGTGTTTTTAAACATATTAATTACAGTACTTTTTGGTGTCTTTGTCTGATAACTCTAACATCTGGATCCCCTAATGAGCTATTTCTATTGTCTTTTATTTATTTATTTTCAGTAGTTTGGCCTTGTCTCCTAGTATGCTTAATTTTTTTTGTTTTTTTATTATGCTTAATAATTTTTTATTGAATGACAGACTTTGTGTTTTTGTAGATGTAATTCATAGACATAATTTAAGGCTTTGAATGATACAAGCTTCTTCCAGAAGGAATTTGCTTTTGACTTCGGGAAATCAGAATAGGGATAAATCACCTTTATCCAGTCGAGGATTTAGCCGCTTTGTAACTGTACTTCAGTGTTTTCTGAGAAGTCGTCTATTTCTGGCTTACCCCAGGGTATAACTCTCCTATGTTCCTAATTGGAAATCTCAGGTGTTTACCAGGGTTCCTACTCTTTAGTTAGCCCCAAACTCCAGGTTTTATTTTCTCAACTCTGTAAGACTTTCAAAAGTTCTATCTGACTTCCCAGACTCTCAACTGCTATTTTTTTTTGTTCAGATTCTTAGTCTCCTGGTCCTTTACTGCTTCTGAATTATAAAAAAAAAAAAATACATACTTTTTCAAAGCAGTACCATTTATTTTATTTTATGAGACAGGGTCTTTGTTGCCCAAGCTGGAGTGCCATGGCCTGATCATGGCTGACCGCAGCCTCGACCTTCTGGCTCAAGCAATCCTCCCACATCAGCCTCCTGAGTAGCTGGGACTACAGGCACACGTGACCATGCCCAGCTAATTTTTGTGTTTTTTGTAGAAATGGGGTTTTGCCATGTTGCCCAGGCTGGTCTCAAACTCCTGGGTTCAAGTGATCCACCTGCCTCAGCCTCCCAAAATGCTGGGATTATGCACCCAGCCAGCAGTCCCATTTTTTAAAATCACAATATAGAATCTCAGGTTTACCTCCAGGCATTTCCTTCCCTTCTGATATCTGCTCTTCTTTTCATTCCCTGGCTGCTCTGGTATCTCTGAACTCTAAGTTATGTCGCTTCAATCTCATAAGCCTGCTGAAATCTTAGGCCATGTTCCCAGTCTTTTAGCTAAAACTTTTTTTTTTTTTTTTCTCCAAGCAGACTCTCGCTGTGTCACCCAGGGTGGAATGCAATGGGGCGATCTAGGCTCACTGCAACCTCCACCTCCCAGGTTCAAGCAATTCTCCTGCCTCAGCCTCCTGAGTAGCTAGGATTACAGGCACACGCCTAGCTAATTTTTGTATTTTTAGTAGAGATGGGGTTTCGCCATGTTGGCCAGGCTGGTCTCAAACTCCCAAGCTCAGGTGATCTGCCCACCTCAGCCTCCCTAAGCGCTGGGATTACAGGCATAAGCCACCAAGCCCGGCCTAAAGCTTTATTATTGGATCCTGAGGCTCTACACCCCGTGTCACTTAGGACTTGGCAGATACCCCAAAGGGGAAACCTGTTGTATTTGTAGAATTTCAGACTCACTTTAATATATTTCTCTGTGTAGCCTGAACACCAGGGACCTGACTGCCTTAGTATCTCTCTAATGCTTTTAAACAGATTATTGGGTTGTATGTTGTGTCACTTTTCCAGTTGCTTTAGGTAGGAGGGTTGGTCTTCAACAACCTACCTCACCATTATCAGAAGTAGAAAGTCCTGGCCAGGCGGGTGGCTCACGCCTGTAATCCCAGCACTTTGGGAGGCCAAGACGGGCGGATCACCAGGTCAGGAGATCGAGACCATCCTGGCTAACACGGTGAAACCCCGTCTCTACTAAAAATACAAAAAACTAGCCGGGCGAGGTGGCGGGCGCCTGTAGTCCCAGCTACTCGGGAGGCTGAGGCAGGAGAATGGCGGGAACTCGGGAGGCGGAGCTTGCAGTGAGCTGAGATCCCGCCACTGCACTCCAGCCTGGGCGACAGAGCGAGACTCCGTCTCAAAAAAAAAAAAAAAAAAAAAAGTAGAAAGTCCTGGTTTTTACTTTGAAAGAATATTTTCACTGAGTATAGAATACTAAAATAGCCATTATTTTCTTTCACAAAATGTAATGAAGTCATTCCATTGTCTTCTGACTTTCATTGTTGCATGGAAAGTAAATGTCAGTCTTGTTCATTTCATGGCTATGTGTCATTTTCCCTTTTTTTAAAAAAAAAATTTCTGTATCTTTGGTATTCAGAAACTTTACTAAGTTGTATATCTGTGACATTTTCTTTAAATTTATTCTTTTGGGGGTTACAGCTCATTTTAAGTCTGTGGCTAGATGTATTTTACTAGATTTGGAAAATTCTTGGCCTGTATCTGTTCAAATATGCCCTCTCATCTCCTTCTGAGACTGTAATTACACATATGATGGGTATTTTTAGCTTGTCCTATATGTCTATAACACTGTTTTGTGTATTTTCCATCCTTCTTTCTCTTTATGATTCAGTCTGAACACATTCTTTTGTCTGTCTTCCAGGTTACTAGTCCTTTCTTTTATTCTGTCTAATCTGCCATTGTCTGTTAGTTTTCTTACTTTTTTGGTTATTATATTTTAAACTGTATTTTTTATATTTAGTATCCAGTTCTATTGTTAAACTTTACATCTTGCTATCCATCTTCTTGAACATATTAATCAACTATTTTAAAGTTTGTGTCTGATAACTCCAATATCTAGATAACCAGGGTGGGAGGATCTATATCTATTTTCTGTTCTTACTTGTGGTTTTTTTGTCATGTGGTCCTGTCTCCTGATAGGCCAGATCTTGATTAAATAGTCAATCTTCTATATAATAAATTACAGAAATAATTTGAGGATCTTGACAATGCTACTCTTCTTCCAGAAAGGGTTTATTTTTGTTGTTGTTGTAGTTTGTCTGTTTTTGAGAGAGTGTCTCACTCTGTCACCGAGGCTGGAGTGCAGGGGCATGATCTTGGCTCACCATAACCTCTGCCTCCTGGGTTCATGCGATTCTCCTGCCTCAGCCTCCTGAATAGCGGGGATTACAGGTGCATGCCGTCGTGCCCGGCTAATTTTTGTATTTTTAGGAGAGATAGGGTTTTACCATGTTGCCAGGCTGGTCGTGAACTCCTGACCTCGAGTGATCTACCTGCCTTGGCCTCCCAAAGTGCTGGGAGTCACTGCACTCGGCCAGAATTTACTTTTGACCCTGGCAGGCAGTGAAGGTAGAAGGTCGCTGTAATCCAGTCAGTGACTGGGATGATTCACACCTGAGCTGCAGTGTCTATGAAGGATGGTCTGTTTCTGATTCACCACTACTACTAGGATCAAGCCCTGCGGTGAATACAACCTGATGTCTTGTGATACGTATCAGAGCCTCTCCGCTTTGGTGGCTCTGAACCCTAATTTTTGTCCCCCTCAGGCCATGGTACTGCCAGAAGCTCTTCTTGGCATCTCAATTTTTCAGCCCAAACTTTTAAATCAGCAAATGCCTTAAGGGAAAAGGAGACACCAAATGCTGGGCTCATTCCTCTGTGTCTCCTTTCTCTCCAAGATCTTCACTGCTTCAGTTCCAGCTGTCTTTTCAGCTGTCTGAGGTCTCTTCCATATTCTTGTGATATATCTACCTAGATTTTTATGATATTCTTGATGGAAGCGTTGGTCTGCAGCAGTCTAGTTTTCCGTTACCTTCTGTTGCCATTTCTGTGCAGTGTTTCCTGATCCCTGGACACTGGAGGACAAACAAATGGTACCATTTAGATTGACAGTTGGCTCCTACCTAGGAGTGCCCAGTTCAGTACCATCCCCATCGGGGTACCTGAGTGGATGCCCCCTCTATTGTAAAGACATCCACGTGCTTCTGAGGTCCACCCACTTCTTCCACTCTCACCTCCATGCCATTCTGCATGAAATCACTTCTTCTGAAGTCCTTTCTTCCCCTCAAGAGGCCCATGCTCACCCACCCACTTACTCTCTTTCTCTGCTGACTGTCCATTTCCACCTCCTCTAGGTCACATGCCAGAAACAGGCCCTGGAGGAGAAGCTGGCTCAGAGCCTGCAGGACCAGGAGGCCCAGATGGACACTCTGCAGCAGGCCCTGCAAGACAAGGATGCTCTGTCTGAGGAGCGGGCCCAGCTGCTGGCCAAGCAGGAGGCCTTGGAAAGGCAGGGCCGGCTTGCAGCTGAAGAGGCAGCTGATCTCAGGTATGCAAGGGCCTGCCAGTCAGGGCATGTCCCACACGTCCTTACCCTCAGAGAGTCTGCAGTGTGGCAGCGTATGGGGACACGCACACCATGGCATAGGACTGGGAGGGAGTGTGTGCACATGAAATGGGCTGTGAGTGAGAGGCAAGCACAGTGCCTTTGGGTTGGGGCAGGGCATCTAGAAGAGGTCAACCCAGTGAAAGCACTGGGGTCACCTTCCTGAAGGAGGTGGTGGCAAGTGCAGAAACACAGCTGAGACCAGTGGAAGGCAGATGTGGAATGTCTTGCTCATGGAGCTGTGGAGTTCAGGGTGAAGGGATGGCTGGATTCAGGCACTCCCACCGCGCCCTTGGAATCCTGCTTCTCCCTCCCTCAGCACAGCTTGGCTCTGAGATCTTATTCCAGGCAGGCTCACTCAGAGAGGTGGCAAGATGGCCAGCAGCCACTCCAGGGTCCCCCTTCCAGCAGACACAGGGCACCCTTCTCCCCACAAGGCCTGAGACTGGCGGCCATGGGCCATGTTGAGCTGCGTGATATCCCTGTACCAATCCTGGGAGCCGGGAGTCACAGGGCCTGATCCCAGGCTTAGGTGGCACACCCACCCCTGGAGCCCAGAGCAGGGCCAGCCCAGGGACACACGAGGTGGAGAGTGTGGACGGGTGAGCCCAGAGGCCCTCAGGGCAACTCCCAGAAGTTGGGATGGGCACTCGCAGGCAGGAACAGGATGTGTGTAGGTGCCGCCCGGTGTGTGTGTGTGTAGGTGCGGCCTGGTGTGTGTGTGTGTAGGTGCCTAAGAGTGTGTGTGTGTGTAGGTGCTGCCCGGTGTGTGTGTGTGTAGGTGCCACCCGGTGTGTGTGTGTAGGTGCTGCCCAGTGTGTGTGTGTGTAGGTGCCACCCGGTGTGTGTGTGTGTGTGTGTAGGTGCTGCCTGGTGTGTGTGTGTGTGTGTAGGTGCCGCCTGGTGTGTGTGTGTGTGTAGGTACCGCCTGGTGTGTGTGTAGGTGCCACCCGGTGTGTGTGTGTGTAGGTGCCGCCTGGTGTGTGTGTGTGTAGGTGCCGCCCGGTGTGTGTGTGTGGGTGCTGCCTGGTGTGTGTGTGTAGGTGCTGCCCGGTGTGTGTGTGTGGTGTGTGTGTGTAGGTGCCGCCTGGTGTGTGTGTGTGTAGGTACCGCCTGGTGTGTGTGTGTAGGTGCTGCCCGGTGTGTGTGTGTGTAGGTGCCGCCTGGTGTGTGTGTGTGTAGGTGCCGCCTGGTGTGTGTATGTAGGTGCCGCCCGGTGCGTGTGTGTGTAGGTGCCGCCCGGTGTGTGTGTGTGGGTACCGCCTGGTGTGTGTGTGTGTAGGTGCCGCCTGGTGTGTGTATGTAGGTACTGCCCGGTGTGTGTGTGTGTAGGTGCCGCCCGGTGCATATGTGTGTAGGTGCCGCCCGGTGTGTGTGTGTGTAGGTGCCGCCTGGTGTGTGTGTGTAGGTGCTGCCC